AGAGAGAGAGAGAGAGAGAGAGAGAGAGAGAGAGAGAGAGAGAGAGAGAGAGAGAGAGATGTACACAAACACTAAAAATAAATATGATTAAAACTTGAAGTCACGTGGTGGCAGGCTCCAAGGAAAGGCCCATTTCTGTATCTGCTTGAGCTTCCAGAAGCTCATCTCTACCTTTTTTGGCAAGCCCTTCCTTCATTTTTGAAGCACGTCACTCCAACCTGTGCTTCTATCTTCAAATGTCGCCTAGTGTCAACCCTGTTGCCTCCCTCTTACTAGGATATGTATTTCTCAGATTTCCTTTGCTTTGACAAAATGCCTGAGAGCAAGTTCCTTCAGGGAGGAAATAGTTAGCTGGGCTCCATATTTCAGGCATTAACATGATTACTTGCCTCAGTTGTTTGGGAACCTGTGCCAAGGCAAAAAATCATGAAGGTAAGTAAATGTAGGAAGGATGAAGATGATCACCTCATGATGACCAGGATATAAGAGAAGAGAAAAAGTGAGCAGCTCAATATACTTAGAAGAACATGCCCTGGTGACCCACCCCCTCTAAGCCTACGTTGTAGGTGGAACTTTCTGTCCCACCAGCAGCTCCCAAATAAACACACTGAGGCTTATATTAACTATAAATGCCCAGCCAATAGCTCAGGCGTGTTACTAACTAGCTCTTACAACTTTAACCCATTTTTATTATCTGTGTGCTGCCCTGAGGCTCTTGATTTTTACCTCTATTCCATTTTGTGTGTCTGACTTGTTCTGCATCTGGTTGGCGACTCCCTAGACTCTGTCCTTCTTCATCCCAGCATCCTTAGTTTGGTTGTCCCACCTATACTTCCTGTCTGGCTACTGGCCAGTCAGCTCTTTATTAACCAATGTGAGTAATACATATTTACAGTGTATAAAAGGATTATTCCACAGCATTTCTCCCTTTGTCTAATTAAAAAGGAAAGATTTTCACTTTAACATAGTAAAATCATATATAACAAAAACAATTATTAAGTAAGAATTATAGTTATAATATCTAGTCCATTTGTATTTGGCAAATTTAGAGAAAATATTTATCTTTGTGAGTCTAAATTTTTATATCTAATTTACCTATTATCATAACTAAGGAAAACTTTACCTATGACTACCTAATCTTCACTGGCTGTCTGGAGAGTCACCCTATGTTCTTCTGTGACATTGGGGCATCCATCTTCAGCCTGCAGGCCTAGAATATCTGACAGACTTTTCTGTGAAGCAGAAATTTTGAAGCACTGTTCAATCTTGTCTTGGCAAAGTTTGGCAGTCACCTTCTTTTGTGTGCTACTGGTCCAGTTTGGACATTATACTATCAGCAATTGAGGCAAGGGCAGTTTCTTTGTCTAAATGGCTAGCTTTTGCCATAAAGAAAACAAACTCCATATGGAGTTACTTTGATAACCATTATCTTCTCTGAAGTAAATTAGTACTGCCAGGAGTATATGTGTCTCATTGTCAAGAAAAGTCTTATGTTATTAAAACATTTTAATTGTCATATCCTATAGGTCTTTGATGTACTTGAAGAGCATCTATTTATCAAAATATATCTGTATAACCTTGAAAACATGTATAACATGACTACAAGTTTGATTATTATAGATGACTAACTACTACCCTGTATTTCTTAATTATGCATTACATTTTTAAATGAGCTGTATAGGTATGAGTTGTATAGGTACAATACCTTAAACAAAAATAGAAACATACATACAGTATAACAAAATTAACTTTAAATTTCTATTAATAGACTAAAATCCATACCAATGTAAAATATTTAAGACTAGTGGTTATATTTTTAGTTTAAAAGTAGATTCAATAATCTACCCTTTTATCCTATCATTTATACATCCCCACTTTATGTTATCAGAACAAAATCCTTGAATCTTTTCTCCTTTGTTCAGCTTTTTTCCTGACCATTACTAATAACAACTTATAAACAACCCCCCCTTAAATGATAACATAATAAACATCCTATCTTTTGGGAATGTGGGTGTTGTTTTATCTAGACTGCTTCCTGTTGTCTAAGGGTGCTTGCATCTTCAGAGAAACCTTGAGAATATCCTGATAATTGTTAGGTATTAGTTGGAGTATTATGTGAGGCTGGATCATCTTAGTCAGCAGCCTTGAAGCTGTTTTGGATGCTGGATCACTTGGACCATTCATTTTCATTGGTGTCTGGTCCCTTTGCTCTGAAAATACATAAACTTTTAAAGGTAACATACATATCTACAGTAATACAAGTATAGACTATTCATTGCACGTAAGTCAGCCAAAGATGATTTTTTTTGTTATGTGTTTGAACAGGTAAAATATATACCATGTGTTTTCTAGTTCTTCTGGATTTATTTCTTTATGTCTGTAGTCAGGATTTCAGGGGGTCTTCTTCAATCAACCTGATCATCTTTAACTCAGAATGAATCCACAGCTTCTCTTTCCTGTGGAAATAAAAGCATAACCTCTTTCCCAAAGCAACACACCTTTTGACTTAAATTTTGAAGTCGAGATATTTTAAAAATAAATAGTTTGGTTTCATCTACCAGTTTTTATAACCCAGTGTCTCTTAGCAGCCAAACAATTTAAAGACAACACAATAGCATATAGGATCCAGACTCTGTGTATTTCTCATCTTTAAATGGCTTTTTCCTTTTATATTACTTTACTCCCCTTTTAAGGACTTTATTATTTTAAAACTATATATTGCAGTGTGTTTAAAATTATACATAGGCTTGGGAGAGAAAAGAGAAGGTATAGACAGTCATAAAAAACTGTTTAGAGGTTTTTTCTGTCTGAATCTGTCTTTACTGTGTTTCTGTAATCTTTTTCTGACCATATAAGATGAATCAGAAACTGCTATGTCAGCTGCCACCAGTGTGGCTTAAGCTTAGTGCATGGAGGTAGTACATAGTGGATGACTCTTTCCACAGGTGGATGCTGAGAGACACTTTTCTGTGGCTGGTGAGAGACTGTGGGAATGTGAGAGACTGTGGGAACCCATTACTAGGCTTATTTCATGGCATGTCAGTGGCTGAGTCTGACAGGTGACACATCTCTGTACTGCAGCCAGCATGAGAGACATGAAACTAGAAAGCTGTCTTTGGGTCTGTTTCTGTGCATTTAGGACCTTTTTAAAAGTTTTCTCAGGTCTTAAGTGGAAATTTTGGCCCCACATTGGAATGCCATTAGTAGGCAAAGTTTCTGTCCCATGAGCAGCTCCCAAATAAACACATTTAGGTTTATATTAATTATAAACGCTTGACTGATAGCTCAGGCTTGTTACTAACTATCTCTTACCACTTAACCCATTTCTATTAATCTATGTGCTACCCCAAGGCTCATGGCTTTTACCTCTACCCTATTTTGCATCTGGCTGGCAACTCTTTAGGCTCTGTCCTTCTTCATCCCAGCATCCTTAGTTTGGTTGTCCCACCTATACTTCCTGCCTGGCTACCTGCCAGTCAGCTCTTTATTAACCAATGAGAGTAATACATATTTACAGTGTACAGCACCATGTTCTAAAGATTTTATCACCTCCCATAGCACCATCACTCAGAGATCAAGCCTTCAACATTGAGCTTTTGGTGGACCTTGATTAAAAAAGATAGAAAAGGACCTTTTTGGTATTATTTATCCCAAGAAAGCAAGGCAATTTACTTCAAGATCTTTTAATTAAATATGTCTACAAAATCCATTCTTCCAAATACTATAGCACAGTCACCAGTTCTAGAGGGTCGAATAAAGGCATTTTTGGTGGGGGAACATTATTCAGTCTATCACACCAAGTTTATAATACTTGTGACCATTAGTTCTTGTCAAGATTTAATGAATATAACTTGATAACAAATAAGTGAGCAAGCAAATTGAGAGTGTTCAGTGATTTAATACAGATTTGTTTTGGGGTCCATTGTGTGTATGTCATTTCAGAGCATGTCCAGGAAACCATGTTTACTCTACATACATGGCCTTGCTTGATCTCAAATCAATTCACTGTCATGTTAAAATGACATCCATATTATTGATAACCATAGTATGAAAACAAGATGATAAGCCTATTATTTGAAGAGTCGAAGAATAAAGGTAAGTGCAGCAAGAGAGAAACCAATTAACAGCTCTGTGTAATTGATCTCTCTGTGTTCCTCAAAATGCCTATTCTCAACATACATATTCCTAGTCTGAGGTAAAGAACTGTGGATCTTTGGTGGGGAAGAACTGTGGCTCTTTGGTGGGGAAGAACTGTGACTCTTTGGTGGGAAAGAACTGTGACTCTTTGGTGGGGAAGAACTGTG